ATTTTCAGCCAAATCGATTAGCCGTTCTTAAGTTATAAATGGTGTAACTAACACGACTTTTTATATATATATAGATATAGATTAACCGTTGGTTTTTTTCGAAACTCTGAAAAAAATTAATGAGACCGCCATTTGGTGAATAAAAAAAAGCTTCGATCAGGCACTAGATTATCTATTGCTAAAACATTTTTTTTGTCCGGTTGATTTTAGATGAATCTCCAAGTACATATTAGTCATGGTCACCGCAAGAAGCTTCGGTTGGCACTAACAGGCATTACTCTTAAAATCATAATTTTTTTTGCAATTTTTCCGTTACTCTTACAATTATTATTTTATTTTAAATTTTTAGTCGAAAACTTTTTTAATGACGCTAGGTTTTTTTTCTTTTAGAAAATCAAAATATTCAATGTTGAAAATAAATGACATGATAAACGAAAAAATCTTAATCAACAAGCTTAACATATGACATTCGAGATCACTAAATTAGAAGTAGATGTTTGTTACCAACATTGTAAATTTCTCGAATTTATAGTTTTACAATATATATAAAATATAAGAAATTATGTGACAACATTTCGGTTTCTTTAGTAGATATATGGTTAAGGAAGTGTAATATTATATAATGCGATAAGGATCTTTGTATATATTTATGCTGACATCGGCTGATTCACACAATACCGACCTTTTTCAGATTTGCTTGTGGGCTCCATACAAGGGACGTCCTCATAATACTGACCTGGTTCTCAGATTGATTAGGTAGTAGTATTATCTAGTATCTGAATTATCGTACAAAAATATGGTTGATTTTGATGACCAACATATTTTTATACAACACTTGTAACGGACCCACAATTGCGGTTTGCTGCCAAAGATCAGAAATAGTTTAATTTTTTTAAATTAAAATGTTATAGATTTTAATTAAGATATATTATATGTATACAATCTTTTTAAACTTGCATAAAAGGTCATGTCTTAATACACAAGCTCAACTGTGTTATGATGACGGTAATACTTGTAGTTATGATCTTCTAATACTTGTATACTTTTTTAAGCTACCGTGCAATTAGTATGTTCATTGACAATGTCAGATGCCAGTGAAAAGTAAAATATCTTGCGGTAAAAGCAAAGTGAAACCCTCCCTCACAACATCAATTCTATAGAAAATAGCTAGAATTTTTACTGTAGGGTAACCGATAATTTTATTGTCTAGCCAGCTATAACAAGTTGTTTGCGCTAAGATCCCACATTGAGTTGTTGAAATTGCTTGCACTCATACATACATAATTTAACTGATGGCTCTTGTTTGTATATATGTAAGTAAATAGTTGAGTCGAATTTGTTGATTTGGCAAATTATATACCCTGTGAGAAAATGCGTTCATCCACTATCGTCAAAATCGAGTGCTCTCCATATTACGATATTTTCGAATATTCAAAACTTTCTTCACGCAGAGCTTTATGCCAACCACGCTGCTGTAGTCCTATAAGTACTTTTGAAATTTTTAACATACAAGAAGGGAACTGAGAGTGCTAGCCATGAAGCGATTGTTTTTTCGACAGAACTTTTTGGCAAACTTTTGTTGGCAACGGTTGAGCAAGTACCTGTACAATTACTATTAGAATAGTTCGTTATAAATGGCTTAGATTCTAAACTTAAATGCCTCAGACTTTCGATGGTGCCGTTGATAGTTTGCATATTTTTCTTGCAGGTGGTGTATTCAAGGCTGTTTATACTCATCACCGATTCACACACCATCGCACATTATAATGCGATTAACTAATTATTCAAGTAACAATAAACAACTTTAATAAGTGTAATTACTATATAGTTACACAAGCGTATGGGTCACCAAATTTACCTCGCCATTCCCTGCAAGAACAGCTTGGCTTGCTAAGAGCAGTTTTAAATAAAAAAAAATTAAAAAAAACAAGTAAGGAAGGGCTAAGTTCGGATGTAACCGAACATTTTATACTCTCGCAAAGTCAAATGGTATACTCGTTTGAGATTTCTTTGTGGATTTTCGCACTATAATATAGAAATATGAAAAGAACGTTATGCACCGAATTTGGTTGAAATCGGTTAAGCAGATCCCAATATATGGGTTTTCACCTAAAAGTGGGCTGTACCACGCCCACTGTCTAATTTTGAACGCAGTTCCTATAAAGTCATCTCATACCATCCCATAGATAAAATTTAATGTCTTTGGCGTGTTTAGTGCTTGGTTTATCGCGCTTTTAGTATTTTTTAACAGTACCGTTATATGGGGAGTGAGCGGGCTTGTCACCCGATTTCACCCATTTTCACAGCGTCAATAGAGGTGATAAAAACATTTTCTCTTAGTGAATTTAGTTATTATAGCTTTAGCGGTTTAGGAGATATGCACATTAAACTCATTAGGGGCGGGATCACACCCACTTTTTAAAAAAAATTTTAACTGCAGATGCCCTCCTTATTGTGAACCTTTTTATTAAATAACAGTCTTGTATCTTATTGCGGAGCTTAGTTATGGCAATTTATTTGTTTTTGATCAATGGCGTTTTGCGGGCGTGGCAGTGGTACGATTACGCCCATCTGCAATACCAACCGTCTCACAGTACCAAGAAACATGTCTACCAAGTTTCATAAAGATATCTCAATTTTTACTCAAGTTAGAGCTTGCACGGACGGATTAGTTTTAGGTGATACAAACAACCGTTAGGTGAACAAAACTATTATACTCTATAGCAACAGGTTGCGAGAGTATAAAAAAACGTAACTTTGGTTGCACCAAAGCTAGAATTTCCTTCACAAATAAAAATGTTTCCATACATGAATTTCATTTTGATTGGTCAGCTTGTATGGCAGCTACATATGTATATGCTATAGTGATCCGACCTAAATAATTTCTCCGGAGAGTGTAGCATTGTCTTTTAAAATATTCTATGCCGAATTTCGAAGATATCTCGTCAAATAAAAAAATTTTCCATACAAAAACTTCATTTTGATCGATCAGTATGGTAGTTATATGCTATAGTGGTACGACGGTGGTTCCGGGAGAGAAAATGACGTGTGTAATATAGCTTTAAAGCTGAGCGACTAGCTCGCGAGGAGACTAGAAAACTACCCCTAACCCCTTATGTGTATTAAAATTAACGTGTTTTCTTAGACATGATGCGGTTCAGCGCTAAATTAAAATGGTATAGATCTTGGTCTAAACCTTCATAATATAATATTTTCCGATTACCTGGTGCACTTTTTTCTCACATGTTTTGAGTTATTTAGGTTAATATTAATATAAATGTAGTAGACACAAAACAAAATATAGTAATGAATATAAGAAAGTGGTAATTTGGTCACTTAAATTTTCTTCCACAGAAGTGATGGTTTCACTTGGTGTACTGATTTACTTTTTTGCACAGTCTTGCTGTAACCATCTTGGACAATTGATATTGGGGAACCTAAAAGGCGCATATATTATTTTGCGGAACGTACGACATATAGACCAGGGTAGATAATTTAAAAAAACAAAAAGAATCATAGCAGATTAAAACCCATCGGAAACGAAAGATAAAATGACAAAAATTAAGGGAAAAATAATTTACGGGCGATCTGAGTTCGACAAAAAGAAGGGGAGGAGCGTAAATCAATTTTTAAGGGATATGTAGTTTATCTTAAATTATCGGCAAAATTACGTTTCCTACAGAAAAAGGTTATGTGTCAATGAAAAGATCTATAACTTTCGTACTGTGACTTTTTTCACATAACCTCAAAATTTATGTGAAAAATTCAAATAACAAACTTTTTGGGTTTTTTGTTTTTATCATATACATAACTATTTTTTATTTCACGGAATTTAGTGGAAACTTACCCTAAACACACTGTATTATTTCTATTTAAAATATTTATTTCTTCTCTTTATAAAGACATAATATCGAAAAATCCCTAATTTTCAATCAAAAAATCTCAACTCAAAATATCAAATTTTTATAAATTCTATAGTCTTTATGTTCTGGAAAGTCTCTATTTTCAGATGGTATATAACTTATATACATTACTATGGTAAAGTTTCCACCAAATTTCGTGAAAGAAAAAAATTGTTTTACAAGATAAAGATAAAAAACCAGAAACGTTGGTTATTTGAATTTTTCACATACAATTTGAGGTTATGTGAATAATGTCACAATATGAAGGTTATAGATCTTTCGATTCCCTATTGCCATATAACATTTTTCTGTGGGACCCGTAGCTTTGCCGTAAATCGAGATAAACCATTCTTAATCCTAAAAAATTTAGCTACGCTCCACCCCTTCGTTTTCCCGCAAATTATTTTTCCCCTAATGTTTGTCATTTTATATTTCGTTTCTGATGGGTTTCAATCTACTATAATTTTAATTTTTTTTTATCATCTTCAAAGGTCTAGTTTAATATGCTAACATTGGCTACTACTGAAGTCAGATTTATCGCATGGCTTAACGGTAAAAGTGTATGCTATTGCACGTCTGCCCATCACAATTGACAAAAGTAAACTATAAAGTATATTTAAATGCTAAATGTCAAATACCAAACGACGTACTCGTACGATTGCTTGTATGGAAAACTTTTGAATTTGACCTTGAATTTGAATATACTCTCATGATTTGGTACGGATTATAATCCAACCGAAGAGTACAATATCCGAAGAAATTGTTCAGATTGGACTACTATACCATGTAGCTGCCGTACAAACTGACTGATCAAAATCAACATAAAGATCTTTTTATACCCTTTTTTGCTATAAGAAAGCTACCTGGGAAGGGTATTATAGCTTCGATGCAACCGAAGTTAACGTGTTTTCTTGTTTCTAAGTTTATTGATCCATAAGGGTTTTTAGATATTTGATGTACCTAAGTTTTGTTGACTAATAAGACCTAATAGGGTAGCATAAATGTTATGCTCGATGTATTTATCCATGAAATAATAATATTAATATTTAAGATAGATAACTTATATATGCATATTTATACTTTTTCTTTACATGAAAGCTTAACAATACTACTTCAGATTGAGCGATTGAAATACACTTATTTGGCACATGATCACATGCTCTTGATTTTCAAAGTGAATCACGAATCGCTAATCATGCCTTTGAGCTTTCAACTGTAAAGCTTAGCAACACATAGGCTTAATTCTATTCTAACCATAACCAATGTGCCCGTAATATGTCAGACTTATCCCTGCAACCAATAGAGCAGAAGTCAATAACAACAAGGGAAATATCGCTAACAGCAATTACAAACACAGGAACAGCAACCGTAACAACAACAGAAACCACAGCTGCGAAATCAAAAGTCAAACTGTCAAAGTTTGCTACTTTAAAATCTCACAACAAAGCACAAGAATTAGTCACTATACAACAAAAAGAAACAGCATTCAAAGCAACATCACAGTCGTTGCAACAGTCAACCACATCACTATTCTTGCCATCGATACCAATATTAAATTCATTTAAAAAATTTGCGGGAGATATTAAGAAACCAACTTCACCACAACATCTCGATCATCTGACCAGATCTAAAGCAGTTTTTGAACGGAAACGTCGACGTAGATGTAAAAACAAACGATCCAGTTCCATAGTTAACGTAAAGGTAGCTGACATAAAAGACGAGGTAATTAGTCAAGGATTAATTTTTAAAGTCACTGTGCAACAGGTTATCAAGGTTATTATAACCCATTTAATAATACCTTATGATCTTACTGTGTTCTCAAATTAGTTCAGTCTAGAGAAGTCCATATAAGAAGTTATGTTTTTGTTTAAATACTTTTATGATTACGGCATATCATATATATACAAAAACACAAACGGACCGCTTTAATATAGCTGCTGAAGGAAACCATCAGCTGTAATATAATAGAATGCTATATCTTTATAAGTTGGCAGCAAGATTAAATACTATTTATAACAAGAGGATTTTTTTTGGATAATTAATAAATTACATTTATAAAAACCTTCAAAATCTAAATTTAATTCAATTGATATATTCTTCGAATTTCAGTTATTTATATAACATAAAAAATATATTCCTTCCATTCCCTTATAGATAACGTGAGATATATTCTAAACTTAATAATAGGTTTACACTTACAATTCACAGAGACCAAAGCTTAAAAACAACATTGAATAAAAGAGTTGTCCTCAAAGAGATTCTTCTGGCACTGTTCAATGCCTATGTCAATTGTATACCAAATTTAAGGCATCATAATTGTGCCCTGAACAGGGCGTATTAAATTTTCCAAGAAGATTGTAACACCCAGCAGGCAACATCGGAGACCCAATAAAGTATAGTGAAATTCCCAATACAGACAATCCTTTCATGAACACAAAGTTTTTACTAATATTCTCATACAAAGCAATTCCCATAACCGGACACGGATTATCGGTAGCATTTTGTTCAAATTATTTCTGATAACCGGACAAAATTTCATAAAATATGTAAAGAAAATTGTGTACAATTTGTAATTCCCGTTTTGTTAATTCATATTAATTTGTGGAGTTTTGCGACAGTTTTTTGAAGAACAATAAAAGTCCAACATTGAAAACTATAGAGGTATCGCCAAACCTCTCATTAATACCTCGCTGACCATGTAACCTTTTCGATTTCTCCGTTAATTTCCTCATCTCAGCATGGATTTCATAAAGAAAAATCGACTATAACAAATTTGCTTGAATTTGTAAACCATGCATCATTGGGTTTTAGGGAACATAAGCATACGGATGTTATATATACATACTTTAGCAAAGCGATAGAGTAAATCTTCTGCTTCTCATACATAAACTTGATCTTCTGGGCTTTCAGCCAAGATTTCTTCAATAGATAGCTTCTTATCTTCATAACAGAACACAACGAGTGATATTTGAAGATACACTTTCACATATAATTATGAATATCCTAGTGGATATTTATTCAACTTAAGTATACAAGTATATGAATATAATACACATTCATATCCATATATAGGTAGGTAAGGTAGCTGGAGTGGTTGTCTAACGACGCACCTTGGGCTTTATAAGGCAAATTGTGATACCACAGGGACTTAAGTCTCCTCACTCTATTGTTTCCTCTCTGAACCACCCCGTGCTTCTAATGAAGTTCATCAGTACAAAGAGTTTTATATAAGCAACTTCCGAGACGTTCCCAGGGATATCACTATGTCCTGGAACCCTTTGAAAGTTAATCATGAAGTAGGATGCAAAATCCACCAAGAGATCAAGGCATTATTTCACTATCTTAGACCTTCGAAACTTCAGTGATCTTAAAGCCGCTTGACTATCTGCGTATATGAAAATATTCCTTATTATGAGCACACTCCTTGGCAGAACAAGGAGGCCTTCTTTAATTCCGCTTGGAAGACACTGCAGTGGTCTGGTGGACGGAGAACGATTTTTTTTATCTAGTTTTGCAGAGAAGACACCGCCTTCCACTTTGTTACAAAACAGGTTTGTTGGCGGTAAGAGTAGAATTACGTTCTCCACTGATACAAATACTGGCTGCTCTTTGTATACTTTCAATCCGTTTTACCGCGTATTATTTTTCGTAATTGGCCACAACGATCCAGAGAAGTGGAGATAACATGCCTTCGTTGGGCGTACTCCTTCGGACAGATCTGCACATCGTTGAAGCTACCAGCGATGAAATATAAACCTGCCCGTGAGCATCTGTTCAATTAATTTTCTGAGAGACTCAGAGATTCCCAAATCCTTAAGCGCGCCCATTATGGCACGAGGCGGGATGTTATTGAAAGCGCCTTCTATGTCGAGGAAAGCTAGATTATTTCAGTGTTTTTAATAAAAGTGAGGAAAGACAATTGGTCTGAAATCCTTTGGGTTAGTGTGTGAGCTTTTGCTCGCTTTTGGTATATTATATATATATTATATGTATTACCTCGACCTTCCTCCATGGCGAAGGAATGTTCTTTAATTGCAATGCTCCTTTTAGTATGGTCGTTAACCAGGTTATCTAAATCTGAGATTGCTGTAACTAAGCCGGAAATATGCCGTCTGGTCCCGGTGATTTGAAGGGCTTGAGACTACTTATCGCCCAGTATACATTATTATCTGACACTATATCTGCAGCGATGGAGTCTGTTTCAACCGCCTGCCTAGTTTATACTCCATCGTGTGGTTTTCAGAGCTGCCTGGGAAGTGAGTATCCATTAGCAAGTCTAGAGCCTCTTCACTGGATATCATCCAACTATTGTCTGGCCTTTGTAGGTATCCAATGTTATGCACCGATTGTGCCATTATTATTCTCGATATCATTACAAAAAGATTTCCACGATTTGCTTTTTTGCTTTCCTTACCTCCTTTTTATATGTATGTCTTTAAGAGGTTATATTATATTAGTTATCCCACTCCTCTTCTCATTGGAATAGTTTAGCCAAATTTAAATGATTCCTGCAATCCATCTGTAAGTCCCTAAGTACGGCAGACCACATCTAATACTTGTCGGCAAGATTCTGTGAACTGCTTAACGAGGATGTCTAGGACCTCTTTGTTCGTTGGTTGAAATGGCAAAATCACAGGAGTACTATTTTTTTAGCTCTTGCAGGTGCAACTACCAGTTTGTTTTCCTATGATTCCTGAAATTTTCGACCTTTTCTACATCTTTTTCAATTATGCATTCAATGTAGCGGTGGTCCGAAAAGGAGTGTGTTCTTCAAGAACTCTTCATTGGGTTAATTTTTTATCAGATCTTCCGACACAAGGGTAATATTTCTGTTGCACAACGGAAGCTCAATTTCTAGCAAGTAGTTCAAGCGACACTCACCTCTATCATTGACGTCTATGCTGCCCCAGATTGTGTGGTGCGCGTTTGAGTCCAACTCTTTTACCAGCTGAGATGGTACGTGCCCCTCATCGTATGGCATATAACCTGACACCAGCCGGTAAAAACTTTCGCCTGTCTCCCAGCTATTGCTGCTGTGTCATGGTTGCTATAACGATGTAACATAAAAACGTTAAGGTTTTCCTTTTACATGCCCTGACCTTACCTTCAAAATTTACCCTATATGGTGTTGCTTAACTTTCGGTGTCCTCAGTCCGCAAATGCGCCTTCCATAAACTTATGGCTCCTGAATAAGGACAAACTCAGGCTGCTCTATTGACACGCGGTTAATTAGGGCTACTGAAGCTAGTTTGCTGGAGATTAATTTGTAGAAGATGCATCAACAATTGTTTTATCTGCGTCTTTCTGTGTAAAGATTTGAGAGTGCATCTGCAAGCGCAGACTCCGAAGAACCTTGCTCTAAACTATCACCATCATTCGAGGACTCCATAGGATCTTCCTCGACTACGCCCATCTCGTTTTCCGATGCTGGATGATGAGCAGCATCGGCGTCCGACTTATAGTTCGTGATTCTCACCTTCGTGAATCCGTAGTTGATCCCGCCATTTTTCGCCAGCGGTTTGATGAATTTCTTAGTTAGCAATAACAAAATCTGCATCGCGGCCCTTTTGGTCTCCACGCCAGATTCTGCTACGAGTCCTCGAAGGGCTTAATAAATTTCCACCCTTCCGTAGGCAGATTCGGATTGCAGACTCTTATGAGCTGCATAATCTGGTTTGGCTGCGATGTTATAGCCGTAATCCAGCCCCTTGCGCTTAGTGTGAACGAGATGTCTTGTGTGTCCACCGTTACTAATTTGGCTCCGGGATATACCTCCCCTATCTTGGATAAAAGCTGGGCCAATCTCTGGCAGACGCACATTTCGCAGCTGCACTTTTGGCATCTTCACTCTCCCCCTCTTTAGCAGCCACGCCCTTAGATGGGAGCTACAGGGTTTGGTACCGGCTGCCTTTGGTGCTGTTGCTTTCCCGGAGCCAGCCTTAGCTACAGCTCCCTTGATTGGGGCTGCCTTCACGTCCTGCCCAAGCTTCGATCCTGGCGGTGCACTGGCATCTTCGAGTAGCGACTAGCTCTTTCCGGCTTGTTTACCGGAGATCTGGACTCTTTTATGTAGATATTATTTCGGTTCATATTCTGGACCCACGAGTGTAGGTGAAAGTATGTCCGCTTGCGCATACCCTTAGCTGCGCAAGGAAGGCTATCTTATTACGGAGGGCGCCAGGTATCTGTAAGCTACGTTCGAGATTGCGTTATTTAACGCATGACACCTTGATCAAGCCCTTGATGTACCCCCTACCATGGTAAGATTCTATCTATCAGGCTTCTTCGCCGACCAAAATCCATATACATACATACATATATTTGTCTTTTCTAAACATAAATAATTTTGCAAAATATATAACATTTAATAAATTACAACTTCCGTTTTTTTTGTGACTCTAAGAATACGTTTTTTTCCGCGTTTTTTTCCAAGGCCCCCATATGTGGACAGCTACCAAAGCCGGACAAAAACACTGACCGTTGGTGAATATCCGGTTATGACGGGTTTCACTGTATCTAAGTATCTAAATGATCAGCGCGACGAGCTAAGTCATACAAACTGAACGATCAAATCGATGTCCTTATATGAACAACATTTTTATTTGACAAGATATCTTCACGAATTTTGACATACCAGTAATTATCATTATAGCATATAGTTACCATTCAAGCTGATCTATTTATACTTTTTAATGCTATAAAAAATGCAACTGTGAAGGGTA